ATGATATTTTTTATTAATAAATTTGAATCTTTGACTTAACCTCCAAAATAATATTGCTTATTAATAAATTTAACTTTTAAAATTAAAATTAAATATTCTTTAAACATATATAATTTTAATGTCACTAGTGAATTAATGCCTCTGAATGGAGAAGGCTAGGCTATTGGAAATGGGGATAGGGTATAGACCGAGAGGTAAGTCCTTCAAAAGATTCGAATACCGAATCTGTGGAGGTCTGCCATGTCTAGTTTATTAAAATCACTTATTCTTTCTCATTTTTTTAATTTTTTTCTCACGCATGCATCTAAATTGTTAGTGTGTTGCCTCCCTCCAAGATATAATTGTCTTTTTTTATTTTACTTAATATTCCTTCTAAATTAATTGTAGTTTTTAAATAAAAATATTGTTTATTTTAACTTTTTTATTACACTTAACTCTAATAATCTATTTTATCATAAAAATTTCACTTATTTATTATCTTTATTAAAAATAATAAAAATAAATTCATAAATTATCTACAAACTTTTAATTTACTAAAACTTAAAGAACAAAAAAAGTGAACGTATAATCACAAACATATATAATAAATAAATTTTAAGTAGGTACTACACTATATTCTATTCATTTTGTAATTGTAATTAAGTAATTTGTTATTTTTAATGTTAAGACCTCTTATTTTTCTGTAATTTCTTTAAAAAATAACAATTATTTTATGAGAAATAGAGTAATATGATTACTTTATTTCGTAAGGTATGTAAGATGACGTCACTCTAATAAGAAATAACTTTTTCCTTTTCCTCATTTCTTCCCACACTCTAATGAAATTAGGATTTGATCAAACTATCGAAGACTGTACTAACTTTAGATATTAAATTTTTTACTAGAAAAAACTTTAGATATTAAATTAGATGATAAGGAACTTACTTCAACAGGACTACTTGCGTAACTTAGGCAAGTTAGGTAGCATATGATTTGTAATTGAACCTTTTTCAATTTATTTTTAAATAATTTTTGTTAAATAGTTTCTTATTTGATAACAAAGAATTTATTTATAATTTATATGTTATTATTAAAGTATTATCTAATATTATGTGTGAAAAATTAAAGCAACAATTAATTTGGTAAGGAGAGTGTAATAGATTTAGGATTAAAGCCTCACAAGCGTGATAGGCAAGAACAAAAAAGAAAAAAAAAAAAAAAACTCTCAAGAGATGACTTATCAGATTAAAATTATGGACCATGATT